CGAGCAGCTGCAGGACGTCCCGACGTCGACTAGCCGGCGGCCCAGCGGTCTGCACCGTGGCCCCGGCCGGCGGCAGACGAGTGAGCGCGAGGCGCAGCAGTACCAGTTCATCAAGCGCTGGGACTTGCAGATGCGCGATGGGTGGGACGCGCTCGAGCCGTTTAAGGGCCTGCCGAAGCCGAAACGGCAGTTCGGCAACGAGGCGGCGGAGGTCGTTTGGCCGTATGCGCTTTTGCTGGAGCGCGTCGTGAAGGTGCACCCGTTCACCAAGTCCATCTACGTCTACTACAGCCAGCGGCAGGGCACTGCACTCGGCAAGCTCGCAACGGAGGTGGCAAAGGGGTTCGCGCGGGAGTTCCTCATCCCCATCACCTTCCACAACTCGCAGGTGTACGTGGAGACGGAGATGCTACTGGAGTACAACGAGACACCGTGGGTGGTGGTGCACGCCCTCGACGGTGAGCAGCGCGTGTTGCCGGTGTGCCCATCGGAGGACACGCCCGTCGAGACCGCTGTTGCGCAGCTACTCCGTGACGTTGTGCACGCGTGCGAAGCGCTTGGCGCCGCGGTGTCGAACCCGCGGGAGGTGACGCGCGCGTTGAACGAGCGGCCGCTGCAGAACCAGTACGTGCGCGTCAACTACCAGTGGTTCGGTGACACGCCGGAGGAGCGGGCAAGCCACCTGGTTAAGTGGGACTTCGAGCCGGCGGAGGTGGAGCCGGTGATGCGGGAACGCACGCGCCACGTGCTGGGCTGGCTGAACCACGACGGCAACCTACCCAACCACAACTCAGTGCGCGTCAACGTGTTTAGGGAGCGGGCGCGACAGCGGAGCCCGCGAACGGTGAGCGGACCAAAGACATTCTACAACTCTGCCGGATCCCGCGCCAACGCGCGCTCCTCGCGCTTCGGTGGCCAGTCGGCTGTAGGGAAGTGAGAGAGCGAGTGCCCTCAATGGTTGTGATCTTGCTGCTAGTGTTCTTGTGTTATTTCCTTAAAATGGGAGTGATGCAGTATCTGTTATTGTGTGTTCGATACGTGGTACGTTTCTCTTTACGTTGTGTTTGTTGTTCTTCTTGTTTGTTAGGGGAGCGAAGGGTACCGCGTGTGCGTCTGTGTGTGTGTGTNGGGGGGGGGGGCTGGGCCGCCATGCAGGATGATTCTGGTGCTGCTGTTCTTTCTGACACCAGGCAGCCGTCGCAACCGGCCACGTACCCGTTAACGGTGGGTGCGGAGTGTGTACCGGTGAGTGAAGCCGCACCTGCCAGTCTGCTCCCCTCATTGCCGGTGAAGGCACACGCTGGGGGCGCGCACATGGGCGACCTTCGAAGCGAACAAGACCACTTGTGGCTCATCTACCATGAGGTGGGGACATCGGCGCGGATGAAGCGCTTCCGCACAGTCGTGGAGTTTGCGAAGTACACACAAGAGTTGATGAACACGGAGCCCACTGTTATTACTACCGCCACTACTGCTGCTGCAACAGCAAGCTCAACCCAGGAACAAGAAGAGAAGCAACTGCCGAGGGAAGGTGAGGGGATGCATGGGGGAATCCAGTTGCCTGTGCAGCGTGGGAGTCTGCCTCATGGGCGGATGAGAGAGCGGAGACGCCGCCGCTCGCGGGAACCCAACACACCGTCAGGCAGTAGCAGTAGCAGCAGCAGCAGTGATACTCCACTCACGCGGTCGTATTGGCTTGATATCCAATCTTCCAATGAGGAGGTAATACGCGACGCACTGCGGCTTTTCCCTATCCACTCTACTACCGTGGAGGCGGTACTAAACCCGGAGAGTTTCGACAGCGCGGAGACGTACTCCTCGCTGGACTACGTCTTCTTGAACCTCGCGTGCAACCGCTTGAGTACGAGTGCGAAGCCCTTTGAGACGTTTGGAGGGGCGGTGTACGACACGATGGGGGAGAACATCGCCCTCTGCGGGGTTCTCTGCTTCGAGGATTGGGTGGTGACGGTCCACTCGGCGCCGTTCGGCGGTCTGCTGGAAACTGTGCAGAAGATACAGAGGAGGCATGGCCTGCGGAGACACCACGCAGGGGGCCAGACATCAGCAGTATTAGTAGCTGCAGCAGCAGAAACGGCTGCTGCTGCGGCTGCTGTCCCTGCTGTGATTGCCGGTGCGAAGAGCTATGCACCGTTGCGTGCTGCGTGGGTGCTCGCGACGTTGGTGGATTTCGTGACGGAGACGTTTGTGCCGGACCCGGCGTCGGTGCTGGCGCAGGTCGACGCGCTCGACGAGATGGTGCTGCACATCTCAGATGAGCAGGACCAGCCGGACCTCCTGCGCCGCGTGGCGCTGCTGCGGCGCCGCATCTCTACCCAACGCACTCTGCTGTACCGGAAGGAGCGGCTGGTGCGGCAACTACTGATGCCGTTGATGCGCACCTCATTCGTTGCGCAGGACGATGACATCGCTGATTTGTACAAACACACCCTGGTTTCCGTCGTGCACGTGGCAGAGCGCCTCGACAACGCGCGAGATCTGCTGAACCACTCCAACATGAATTTCGTTGCGATGGTCTCTATGCGTATGTCGCAGGACTCTGCGCGGATGGACGTGAAGATGCAGGTGCTGACCCAGGTCGCCACCATCTGCCTGCCACTAAGTCTCGTTGCCTCCATCTTCGGCATGAACGTGACGGTGCCGTGGGAGCAGACGGGGGAGTTGAATGCGTTCTGGGGCATCATCGGCTTCATGGTTCTCTGGCTCGTCGTCTGCCTGATTCCAACGCTGATGAATCTGCGCAAACACATACGGCGGACGCCCATCTCGGATGGGTAGTGAGCGAGGATGTGAGTTAGTGAACGAGTGGGTGACTAAACCCGTGCTTGTTTCTTATATATTTTGATTCGTTTAGTTTCGTTTTGATGTTTGCTAGTGCCCCCGTCAGCGGCTTGCTGGCAGTTGATTTTTGTTTTTTGTAAAAAAAAAATACAGTTCGCTTGTCTAATGCCTCAAATGGGCACCGCAATTTGTTCGCGGTGCTGCTGCTTCTGGTCTCTTGCGCCAAGAGAAGCTTCTGCTGCGCCACTCACTTTTCCTTCTCAAATGCAACAGGGAAGGAGACGCAACTGTAGTGAGGCGAATGGAGGAGTGCGGCACTTCGCCACGCGATGCCGACTTGGATGTTGCGTCGCGCGACTACGCGCAGCGGGAGCGGGGATTGCGCAACGATGCGTACCGGCAGGCGGTGAGCGAAATCGCTGGTGAAATTTACGGGGCGGTGTACCGGCAGACGTACCACGACGCTCTGCAGATGCACAGGAGAGAATGGAACCAAGCCGCGCCATCCGCAGAACGCTTCACGTAAGGGCGACATTGTTGACCCTTATGCTCGTGTAAGCACCTCTTCTGCGTTATATTCTTACACACATACAACACGCATTCTCTCTTGTTGTCGTTGATCTTATTACTGCTGCTGATCAGCTAATGGCTGCTGACTCTTTCCTTTCTTCCTGTGGTGGTGTGTATAGATGATGGCGTATATCGAATTCTCCGCCATTGACTTCCTGCTGCACGAGGGCAGAGTGCTCTACAACTTTCAGGTGCGCTTCGGTGGGCGCTGGTGCTGGGTGGTGAGCAAGACGTACGAGCAATTCGTGGAGTTACACGTGCAGCTCGAGAGACACTACGGCGCGATCAACCTGCCGCACCTGACAGGGCAGGTGCGGCCGTGGGCCCGAAACACCTCTTCAACAGCCACCGGCCGCCTCCCCAAGTTGGAGTCATACCTTAACGAGGCACTTGTGTCGTCACCGTTCTGGTCTCCGCGCCTGTATGACGTGGAGTTGGAGGACCCGGATGGCGGCTCAGTGACTGTGCACTTGAACAAGTTCCTCTGCGCCTTCCTCGAAGTGCAGGAACACACAGTGAGCACCTCACCAACTCGGTCGCAGGCAAAAACCGTCACGGCTCCACATGCGAAGGCGGTGTGGGCACCACAAACAGCAGCAGGAACAGCGGCAACGGTAGAAAAAGTGGCAGGCGCGCTGGCCTCCGCGCCACTGACGCGTACTGGGCAGGCGACAGCGTCTGCGGCGCCACAGCTGACGGCGACCGAGAGCGCAGCACCGCAGCCACAACAACAGCAGTCGTCTCCGTCATCATCGGCGGCGGCAGCGGAGCACCCTGCGCCGGCCCTAGAAGCGCGGCTGCATTCCATCATGAAGAGAAGCTCGCGCGACGACTCGGAGGAGCTGGCACTAGTCGCCTCCGCCTCCACCATTACGTCGCAGATCATTGCCAACGTGAAGGACTTCAGCATTCTCGAGCGGGACCACATCGACTACTTCATACACGTGTCGCTCTGTGGCCATCACTGGGTGATGACGAAGCGGTACAGCGAATTCCGCAATCTGCACAACAGCCTTAAGGCGGTGTACGGGGAGGGCACGGTGCCGCTGCTGGGCCACAGCATGGTGCCAACGTGGCGCAAGCTGACTATAGAGACGGGCGAGATGCGCAAGAAGTGCTTCAACCAGTTCTTGCAGGAGGTCGTGATGAGCGTCGATGGCTGGGAGCCGCAGGGGCTTCTGGCAAGTTTCGAACTCTCGCGGCATACCGTGCTCGGTGACACGACGCGCTTCACAGTGTACGTCAACCAGATACTCTTCGATTTCCTTGACTTCGCGCCGCACATTGATGCACTAAGTGGCGAGGCGGCAGCTAAGGCGGTCGTGGAGCAGCGTGCAACACTACCGGAGGCTGTCAAGGTAGCGTACGACAAGCGGGCACTTGAAGAGAAGCGGCTGCGGATGCATGAAAGCATCGCCCGCAACGAGCGGCACCTACGGCCTCTCCAGGACGATCAGTTGCAGGTGCTGCTCGACCGTATCGCTCTGCTTGACGATGACCGCGACATCATTCGCATGTTTAAGCGGCTTCTCGCAACGGGTGAGGTGGCTACGGACGTGCGCTCCTCCTTCGCCGATGTCGTCGCCGACGGCTCGCCAGAGGATGGGGACGGGCGTGGGCAGGAACCGCAGCAGGAGCAGAGGAAAGAAGGGGGAAGGGACGACATGAGCGCTGTCGTGGGTCTGACAGCGCGGCAGCTGGCGAGTATAACGGAGCGGCTGTTTTTCAACGACACCAAGGTGGAGTCGATCCGACTCTTTGCGGATGTTCTCATCAACGCCGATGACCTACAGGACGTTTTCGACACGTTGTGGTTCGGCTGGGAGGAGGCCCGTGCGGAGGTGGAGCAGATTCTGACGAGGCGATGATGTCAATCAATACCATCCCCTTTTTCCCCCCGTTCCCATTTCTTTTTCTGTGTGGCTGCCATGTCCTGAACTGCTCCCTGCGAACCTGTGGGTCTCTCTCCTTGTTTCTCTCGTTTACTCTTTCTCTTTCTCTCTCTCTCTCACACACACACGCACACACACTGCTTACTTTCACCACTCCCAGAGCAATATGGTGGCGCCAGTGGCAGATGACGATGTGGCGGCCCAGTGGCTGCGACATGCTGATAGATGCCTCCACAAGAGCAATGACACTGACATGAACCACAGCAGTGACAACAGTACCAGAAGTATTAGCATTAGTAGTGGCAGTCGTACTAGTCATGAGGTGAACTACGCCGATCTTCTTGACTTCATGCAAAGTGCACCACCGCCGCCCGTCTCGCTGCAAGCCAAGTGGGAGAAGCACGTCTGGAAGCTGCAGGATGAGCCAATCGCCCTGTACTTCCTGCGGTCCTTGGCCAGTTCGTGTGGCGGCGGCCGCGCGTCCTTCCTCCTCGACGCGCGGCCGTGCCTGCCATTTCCCTGCGCCCTGCCAGCGGACGGCGGGTATGGACTGCAGCGGCAGGTTGTGCGCGTCGTCGCGCTGCGGCTGCTTCCCAGCACCACAGACGTTATCCAGATAGGGTGGCGCGAGGCCGCCGATGGGGCGCTGCGCCCGGACTTCTGCAGCCGCACACACGTCGTTGTGCAGCTGGCGTCTGGGCGCCATTACTCGGCGTGGGCATACGGCGTCGTTGGCGGGCGGCTGCGCGTTGGGGCGGTGCTGAGCGCTCTCGTGTATGCGAGCCGCACCGAGGCCCACGACGTGGCGTATGTTCTTCACAATGTGGCAGAGTTTACTGCTGCCGATGACAGTGCGGTGTCAAGGTATGACCGCGCTGCCCGTGGGACAGAAATCCCATCTTCACTTTTCTCACTGCCTGGGCGGCTGCCGTTCGAGCAACTTGTTCTGGCATTCGTGCCGGGGATTGAGGGACAGATATTGTGCAAGTCGCTCCTGCTGTTGGTTGCTGTACACACATTATACCGCGCCATGCGCTGCCACACCCGGCAGCCTCTTCATTTGTTGCTGTTGGGCGCGTCAAAGTCGGGAAAATCCGCCTTGCTACGGGCATTTCTGCGCCTTCTTGGTCCGCATGCCACACTCGTCGGGGCCAACGTCGTTCACGGGCAGCAGCGCTTGGTTGCCTTGTCACAGGCCATCACTGCTACACATCCATGTGTGCGTCAGCAGCTGCTTTTAGGGGGAGCCGTGTCGACGTTCGACGCCCTTATCATTGATGAGCTTTCCAGCAGTGGCTGTGTGACTCACGTGGAGGGACTCATGGCGGGTATGTGCCCCATTGGTGGTGGCAGTGCATCTCCGACGCTGCGCGGCCACGTGGTGCATACACGCGTACAGGTGACTGCTGCTGCAAATGATGATCTCCTTCCAATTGCAGCTGTGTTGCCGCAGTTCGCGGTGGTGGCACGTACAACTGCTAATCTTTCGCTCCGCAGCACCGCCTCCATCGGCGAAGGGGTTATTGCCGCCTCTGTTGCCCGCTCACAATCCTCGTCCTTGACACCGTCGCGGTCTGTGTCGCTGTGTGAGCAGAGCCCACAGCGGACGGACACTGTGCTCTCCGCCAGGCCGTTGAGCGATGCGCTTCTGCGCGCCGTTGTGGAGGAGGCACTGCCACCGCCGCTGCTGGAGGCTGCCATCCCCGCCGGGGTATTTGTGCGCTTCTACCTGCGCTGCCTGGGTGAGCACTGGCAGAACGGCAGCAACAGCAACAGGAGTACCGTGTCGCTGGCGTCACAGATGGCGGTGCTGTGGGAGCTCAACTTGGCCCGGTTGATTCTTGAGAGTGGTGGCAGCAGCGGCGGCAGCAGTGGCGTCAGCGGTAGTAGCAACACTGGTGCCGCTGTGTGGAACGAGACACTTGCTGAGGAGGTATGGCAATGCTATAAGCATCATCTCTGGACTGTCGATACTGCTGCTGGTGCCGCTGGAGGATGTGGGGGAGGAGACCACAGCAGAGGCCAAGCAGTTATGTGTGGCCCCGTTTTACCCACCTCCAGGTGTGGAGCGAAGCGGAAGTTCAGCAAGAAGGCCTTATGTGTGGCGCTGCTACGAATGATGGCAAAGGAGCAACGAGGGCGTGACGGTGCTGCAGTGCCGGATGATGTTGTTAGGGCCTTCTTTGAGCAGCTTGGTGGCGAGGGGCTGACTGGGCAGTCGTTTGGCGCCGTGATTCAGCAGCTCCTGGACGCCGCATTGATTATTCGCCGGCTGAATGCCTACGCTGTTCTCAGCGAGGCGTGAATTTCGTTTCTTTTTCCATTGCTGTTGTTTTATTTATTTATTTGCCTTTTTTAAATATTGGTTTGGGCAGTCAGATGAGGGTTTCTTGCGGGGTGGTGGTTCTGTGTTTTTAATTTGCCCTTTGCGGCGCCCATGCCTTGGGGCGCAGACGTGTGCACCCATCGGTATAACTCAGCGCGGCGGTTCTGTTATTCTTTTCGCCTTTCTCCCTTCACACTGCGTGCGCGGCTAGGGATGTCCATTCAAAGGGAGAACGATGCCGTGGAGTGTGTGCAGCCGCTGCTCTACGACAGTCACGCGCACGCGCAGCCGGCCAACGCAGCGTCCATCGACCTGGTGGAGTTTGAGATCGAGAGGCCTGTGGACGTCACACTGACGTTCAAGGACGTCGCGTACTATGTCAACGATGGCAAGAGTGCTGTGAAGAACATCCTCCGTGGCGTGTCGGGCTACGTGCGAAGCGGGCAGCTGCTCGCCGTCTTGGGGCCGTCTGGCGCCGGCAAGTCGACGCTGCTTGACATTATAGCGCAGCGCCCGAAGAGCGGCACCGTCAGCGGTTCCATCATGTTGAACGGCAGGGAGATCCAGCAGAGCGTGTTTCGCCGCATCAGTGGGTACGTGCAGCAGGAGGACCTGCTACAGAGCTATCTGACAGTGCGGGAGAGCATTTTCTATGCGGCGGAGTTGCGCACGCCGCCCACCCTCACGAGGGAGGTACTCATGTCCCGCACACAGCACATTATGCGCATGCTCGGCATTGAGGGCGTGCAGGACATGAAGATCGGGTCGGAGGTGATGCGCGGGATTAGTGGCGGTGAGAAGAAGCGGTGTGCTATTGCCATGGAGCTGGTGGCGACGCCCTCGCTGCTGTTCCTCGACGAGCTGACCACCGGCCTCGACACCTTCACCGCGCTGCACCTGTTGACGATACTAAAAGACCTTGCGGAGGCAGGCGTGGCGGTTGTCTTCTCCATTCACCAGCCGCGCAGCAGCATCTTCCACCTCTTCGATCAGGTGCTTCTGCTGAATGGCGGTGGCGAACAGGCGTACTTCGGCCCCGCCGGTGAGGCAATGCCGTTCCTCGCTCGCATCGGCATTGAGCCGTACTTGCCGGAGAACCCCGCCGACTTCCTGCTAGACACTGTCGCGGTGCTGTCGACCGAGGCTGTGCGCGGCGACGATTGGATGCAGCGACACAAAATAACACCCGTGCAGAATGGTGCCACCGTCGCGGAATCATTCCGCAGGTTGCTTAGCCACACGGTTAAACATGAGATCGATACGTTGAACGACGCTTACGGTAAGTCCGCCGCAGGAATTCCGCTATCAGTGAGCTCGCCCTACTACCGCAGCGTGTTAACGCAGATACGCGTGGTGTCGACACGGGCGGTGCTAAACAAACTGCGCGACCCTATTGCCACACTTGCCGCGGTCGTTGCGGCTATTTTCTTTGCTGTACTGATTGGATCCGTCTACTTTCGCGTTGGCCTCGCGGCGCCGTCGATACGTAATCGAATGGGCGTCTTGTTCTTTGTTGTGATGAACACCGCCTTCTCGAGCCTAGGCTCACTCGGCGTGCTCATGGTGGACCGTGCGATATTTGTGCGGGAGCATAGCAACGGGATGTACCGCGCCATTGCGTACTACATTGGTAAGATCGTACAGGACGTGCCCATCAGCGTGCTGACAAACCTCATCTTTAACTCGATTGTGTACTTCATGGTGGGTCTGCAGCCGCGCGCTGACAAGTTTTTCCTCTTTTACCTTGCCTGCACCCTCACCATGCTGAACAGTTACGCACTCTGTCTATTTATCTCGAGCTTATCGAAGAACATGCAGGTCGCCAATATTGNGCCTGCACCCTCACCATGCTGAACAGTTACGCACTCTGTCTATTTATCTCGAGCTTATCGAAGAACATGCAGGTCGCCAATATTGTGGCGCCGCTGTTGTTTGTGTTGTACCTTCTGCCATCGGGGGGTGTGTTAATGAGTTCCTCCAGCATGCCAATCATTTGGCGCTGGATCGAGTACATTTCGTTTGTACGCTACGGCTTTGCGGCACTTGTGATCAATGAGTTCCACGGGTTGCGATTCGACTGCCCCCCGGATGCGCCGATGTGTGTGGAGGATGGGCTGAGGTACGCAGAGTCGCAGGGTTTTTTCGCAGATGACTTGTGGAAGTACATCGGGGCCAGTGCTGGGAGTATGGGCATCTATCTGCTGGCGGGCTACGTTGCCCTCGTTGCGTTGCGAACGCGAGAGACGAAGTAAGACGATGCGTATGTGTTTCATGCCAAGGTGGACTCCATGCCTTGCACTTCATGTGAGTCTTTCATGCGGGGCGCTTTTATATCACTATTATTATTATTGTTGTTGGTGGGCGACCGCTCTCTGGGCGTGTGGTGACGTTTTCATCTGTTTGTATGCCTGGCTGTTTCTGCGCCTGGCTTCGTTTTTTTCTTATGCGTTTGCGATCTTGAATCTTTGCGGCCTCCGATGGGGAGCGGGAAGGACGGAGTGGGCAGTGAGGTTGGGCCAAGGATTCACACTACCGCTTCTTCATTCCCAGTTTCCTTCACACACACACACACACACACACACACATACAGACAGACACAGACACAGACACACACAGGAGACGAGACCCACGGTGTCTCGTGAACACGTACTCACTCCTCTTTCTCTCTCTCTCTCTTCCCCTCTCTGAGACTCTGTGCATCCCGTATGCTGTTTTCTTTTACTTTTCTTGCTTCCTTCCTTCTCTCCTTCCCCCGTCCCGGCTGTATTCTCCGGTTAAACGAGCTGCAGGTGTAGTTGTTGCCACTGCTGCCGCTCGGAGATGTCAAGCGTTGCGGGCAGCCGGGAGCAGCGCAGACGCAAGCTTGGCGTTGACTGCGTTGGCCGCGTTGTGTGGCGGAACTGGGAGCCTGACAACGAATACGTGCGGAACATAAGAATCAGGAATGTAGATGCCCGAACACAGACAATAGAGTATAAACAGCCGCTGCGGAAGTCGACCTTCTTCATGGCCTTCCCAGATCCAGTGCAGCTCAGCAGCGGCATGGCCTTCGACCTTGAGGTGCGCTTCCGGCCCACAGAGCTGGTTGAGGTGCGCGATGTGATTGAGGTGACGGTCGTCGGCCGTGGCAGCTTCAGCGTGCAGCTCGAGTGCGAGACGCCGTACGCGAAGCTGCAGCTGCCACCACAGCATGACTTTGCGTACGTGCCGGCGGGCACCACGGCGACGCATACTGTCACGATGAAGAACGCCGGCACCGTCGCGGTGGAGTTCGAGTGGGAGGTGCCGGAGCCGTTTGTGATTGAGCCACGCCACGGTGCGCTGTGCGAGGACGAGTCGGTCGACCTGCGCCTCGCCTTCTCGCCGGCGGAGGCGTGCGCGCTCGTGGCGCAGGCGGTGTGCAAGATGGCCGGCGACGGCGACGGCGGG